AACTTCTCCCCTCCCCCAACTCCTTTCTGGGTCTTTCTCTTTGTTCTGAGTTCCTCTTCCCTTATGTGCCTTTGCATGACTTTTTGTGTTATCTTTTATTAACTCCTCCTCTAGAAAGAATACAGTGCCTGTGTAGGAGAACACACACTGCCCGAACTTGGGAGAAAGAAGGTTATCTCTAGCTGGCAAGGTGGGTGAAGACTTCCTGTGGGAGGCAGCTGATTCTTGAAGGATGGGTGGAATTCAAATAACTTAAGAGGCAGTAGAGGAAGGGGAAAGGCATTTGGAGCTCAGGCAGGAGCAAAGCACAGTCAGAAAGGTGAAGACTGAGGCTGAAGCAAACATTTATGTATACCATTTATGAAGTGCCTGTAATATGTCATCCACTTGCATGTGTGGGTAAACCAGATGTCCCCCAGGTGCCTTGTCCTCCAGCTCATGTGTCTGTGTAGGTTCACTTCACCTTTACCCCCTGACAACCCAGCCTGCAAACCTGGCACCTCTCTAAGTACAAACCGAAAGAATACATGATCATAAAACCATTGAGACCCAATTTAGACCTTACTGCATATTTTATAGGGGAGAGGGGGGAATGAGCTTATCTTGTATACATAACCATGGACAACTGAAAATATCTACTATACATTTCTATTGTCCCCCAAAACTCCTTAACCACACCTGTGTTTCTGTGTCTTCATGTGACCTTGCTGTAAGGACACCAGTCATTGGATTTAGGGCCCACTGTAGTCCAGTATGAAGTCATCTTAACTAATTAGATCTGCAAAGACCCTATTTCCAAATAAGGTCACACTCTGAGGTTCCAGGAGGACGTGAGGTTTTGGCAAGGCACCATTCAACCCAGTATAGGACCAGTTCACGGAGATCCGAGAAGGTAACGCCAAGAAATATGGGCTGTGGGCAAGAAGCAGTCACGCTGGGCTTTTGAGGAAGGAGAATGGCAGGATCCAACTGAAAATCCCTCCCCCTGCCACCCCGGATCTGACTGCTTCTGTGTGATTTCTTTCTCGCCGCAGTTCTCCGGGCCTTGCTGCTTTATTAAGGAATTAAACAGGGTGGGTTTCCATCAGCAGGTGAGTGTTTTCTGACCATGGCAGCCTTTTCTTCCTTTTGGAAACTTTGCTCTTTGGGAAACTACACTTGCCTCCATTGTGCCTTGGGCTGTTCAGTATGCTGCGTGAAGCTATTTAAAGCCTGATGCATTAGTCACAACAAATCTGCTCCCGCTGGGAGTTGAAAAGACTGAACAGGGCGCCAGTTTCTTTTTGGTGAGCACAGTTTGTTTGCCCCCTCACGTCATTTGCACCCAGCCCCTTGGATTCCTTGGACTTCACACCAATTCCCTCTCCTGAACTGGCCCTGGTGCAGCAAGAGCAGCCAAGGCCTGCTCAGGCCACCTCTGAAAACCTTTCCCAGGACAGGGGTCAGGGGCTAAGGCAGGGCAGTGGGTCAGACAGGGAGGGGCTGCTAGGCCATGCTGATCCGCTGGGAAGACCGTGGTACCCAGGGAACACACTGTGCCAGCTGGAATCGGCTGAAAAAGCCCTGGATGGCTGCTCCAGTGCCCTGCTCTGACCACCCCTGCCACTCCCCCAGCAAACATTGACTATTCTGATGTTGCTTTAAAGCTGGGGGAGCACTGGAATTTGACGCCTGCTCTAGGGGCAGAAACCATAGGCTTCATCTGCCTTAGTGGCTTTGCCAAGCCCTCGACTGGCCTACAGGGGAGCGGGCTTGGGGGAGACACAGTTAGTCTCAGTGAGTGTGCAGAGGCCTAGGGCTTCTGTTTATTTTGAACAGACACTCAAGCAGCATAGCAGGATTTCTTCACAGTGGGCCCAGTGCAATGTCTTCAGATTCTGGGACCATAGGCTGGGCAAAGGAGTAATCATAGTGTGGTGACAAGTAGAGTTTGGATTCCTGAATCAAAGGCTTTTCCTTCTCTGCTTCTTGTTCCTGTGTGATCTTAGGCAAGCTGCTAGACCGCTCTGAACCTCTGTTTTATCAGCTGTGAAATACAGTGGGTGTTTCCTGGCCCTCATAGGGTTTCAGAAGCATAAACTGAGAGATTTATGTCAAAGTGCTAATGGCTGTATGGTGCACAGTGGGTGGGAATAATGGAAAATGTGTAGCCCTGTATCTGGTACATAGTAACAGCTTGCACTTATTGAAGGCACAGTATATGCTACACATTGTTCTGAGTATTTTTCATCAACTGTCTTATTTAATCTGCACATGGCCCTAAGCTTTAGTACTATTATTATCTCTCTTTTACAGATGAGAAACTGGGTCCTAAAGAATTAAACAGTTTGCTGGAGGCCGAACAACTAATGCATTGTAAGGGCCAGATTCAGACTCTTGGGCCTGCAGACTTACACTACCTCTTCTCAATGCAAAATAATATTATTTTAAAACTTCATAGTTATTGGGACCTTGTCTTGACAAACCCCACAAATACCTTGTCCCTAATCCCCACAGAAGGCTTGTGATGTAATATCATCACCTCCACTTCATAAAGGAGGAATCTGAGGGTCAAGGCTATACTTCATTCATCCTACTGAGCACCTGCTACTCCACTCGAGGCCCTGGAGACACAGCAGTGAACCCAATGACGGGGGTTCCTGCCTTAATGGAATTTATATGTTAGTGCCGGGAAGACAGACAATAAAATGCATAAACAAAATAATTTCGGATCACGGTGAGGGCTGTGGACAAAATTAAACCGAGTGAAGTAGCAGAGTGACAGGAGGTCAGGAAAGCTGTTCTGAGGTGGGGCCCATGGGGCTGAGGCCTGACTGGTAAAAGAGAGGCAGCCATGTGAAACATGGGACAGGTTGCTGTCTCGCAGGGGAACAGCGGAGGTCTGTGAGGAATAGAGGGGCCAGGGTAGCTGAGTGAGGGGAGTGAGATGGGTTAGAGGACCAGTGGGGTGGGGTCAGGGAGCAGGACACAGTTGCCTTGGGGAAAAGTGGGGTGACTGTTTCAAGAGGCAGTGCAGGCCAAGGATCCAGTCCTGCTGATGCCCACTTCTTGGGGCAATGGTGCTGCTGTATTATTGGCCATGTGTCCAGTGAGGGATGGTGGCCAAGGACAGCCCCAGGCCTGGGCAGGGCAGGATGGGCAGAGCAGGGCAGCCCAGAGCCTTGTGGAGCCCTCTCCACTTTGCTGCTGGGCACACAGGCAGCTGGCCTGGGGGCTGAGTTTTCCTTCACACCTCAGGGCTTGTCCTCACACTCAGGGAATGGCGAGGCTGGTAACCACCTCGTGACTAGACCCAGTGGTTGCCAAAGTGGGAGCCAGGACCCACCTCAACCCCCCTTCCCCCCAGGGAGGCAGAGCAACTTTTGCCCACTTTCCCACATGCCCAGGAGAGTGTTGATCTTAATTACCTCTCTGGGGGCTTGTAGGAACTCACTGTCTACAGAGAATTGATGGTCAATGTTCTAAGAACCTAGTAAGATTTTCTCCCCTCTTGAGAGGAGGAAGATGCTTTATGCAATGGATCAGACTGAAAGTGTAGAACTTTGGACCTGGAAGACAATTTAGAGATAATCTTGTCCAACACTCATTAATAAGAGACTAAGGCTTGGGTATTATTTTAATTGCGTGTTATGAAAAAAAGAAGTCTTTCTGGGAAAAAGACAACAACAATAGAAAAGTATACTTTTCCTGACTTAGTAAACAGAAAAAATTGACTCTTTCATTGAAGAGAGGCTGTCAGCAGATTAGAGTGGGGCTTCTAGTGCCACCTAAGGGTCTGGTTCCCACATCTGGTACTTAAGAGCTGCGTGTTCTTGGGCAAGTCACTTAATGTCTTGGATTCCTCAGTTTCCTGATCTATATAAGATATAGACAATTATGGATACCTATCTAATGGGGTTTTTGTGTAAACTGAATAAAATATACAAAGTGCTCATCACACAGTAACTATTCAATAAATGGCTAGTGCCATTACCATTTGGGGGTGCCAATGAGCAGTAATGTAGAGCATGTGAAAATGCTCAGTGATGGCAAGATGACCTACAAATAGTGCTGCTATTTTCCTGAGCTCGGGGCTCCATAACTTTCCTCAAAGTTGATTTTATTAATTCTCCCCCCAAAAGCTTGTTATCTTATTTGCCTCCATTTCCCAGCACTTCCAAGGCAATTTCCAAGAGGAAAAAATAGTCCCTAGTAATTAAGAGTCCCAGTGTATGCATTAGAATTTTAGAACAGAGTTTTATATTTATTTAATGAAGCTTGAGGCACTGCCGCTGTCAGAGACAGGCTGGAGAAAGAGGCGTCCAGCCTAACCCAGGTGTTCCAGTGCCCTGTCATTTGTCCCATCTCAACTCAGCCTTGGGAGGGGTACAGTAGGTTTGTAAGATGACAACTCATCTTATCCCACCAGCACCACATTTGGTTTCAGTCTATATCATCATGGGACAGTGATGTCTCTTATTAGTCATTTCCCTCCTGGCTTAGGGGGAGTCTGCAGGCACATGGAAGGGATTGGAAGACCCATGTACGGCAGCCACTGACTCACAAGCTTAGAGAACTGGTCATCTGTGGTGACTCAGCCTGACTTGTACCCTAGGTGGACTATGCAGGGGCCTGGCTGGGCCTCGCCACGTCCTGGGTCCTTCCCCTCTGCTGAATGCTGTTCATGCAGGTGGGACCTTCATGTTATGAAAATAGCATCTTTCCAAAATGAAATTAAAAAGAATAAGAGAAGAATCTAGAGCCCTTTCCAAGAAGGAATTTAGCTGAGAGAACCAAATCCTGTCCAATATCCTGAATTAAAAACAACCAGTTATGAACTATAGATACTGTTGACTTTGGCCCTGAAATCTATAGGGAAAACTAAAAAAAATAGTAATGAATAAGTGGCACAAGCAATATTTGCTTGTGAGCCCTTCTAGTCACGTGCATGAATAAGTAACTCTGTCCCTGGATCATATTGAGTTTGCTTTGTACTCAAGGTGTGGAGTTTGGAAAAATACCAGTGCTGGTGGTTCTGCTTTGGAGAATAGAGAAAAGGAAACTCCCTTGGGAGTGCTGTTTCTTGGAAAACCGTTCCTCACCTGAGCCCTGTGTTCAGATGGAGGCCTGAGTGAGTCTGAATGGGCTCCCGGGTAATCTGAGCCCCGGGGCTGCTCAGTCTGTGTGGTGGCCTGGCGCCCAGGGCATCTACATCACCCAGGGAGAGGGCACTCAGGGGAGGGGCTGATCTGTGGGGAGTCATCTATTCATTCTTCTTCTTTTTTGAGCACTGATTGTGCACCAGGCACTGTTCTAGGTCCTGGGAAACAAGAAAAGTAAGGTTTCTATTGTCAGGGGATTTACCTCGTGGGGAGTCAAGTCAACAAATGCACTGATGTTTATTTCAGAGAGTGCCAAGTGCTGTGAAGAAAGTGAAGGGGGTGGTGTGTTCAAGAGTGGCTTCGGGCATTGTTCAAGGAGTGACTCAGTGCAGCTTGCTTTGAGGAGGCAGCCCTAGAACTGAAGCACCCCCCCAGGTGAAGACCAGGGAGCCTCATCCAGGCAGGGGAATCACCAATGCAGAGGCTCTGGGTGGGGACAGCCTTGGCTGGTTCCATGCCTGATACAATGGCCAGTGTCACTGGAGCCTTATGAACTAATGTCTCCCTTCAGCTGTGTACCCAGTGTGCTGTGACCCCAACTGGAGTGTCCACGCAAACAGCCATCCCCTGGTGATCGGAGTAGGAAGGGTTATCTAGAATTGCTTTAGGGTCAAGCAAAAATGATCGGAGATCTTCACCTCTACATATGACCCACTGTCAAGCTCTGTGGGTTCATGCTCTCTGCTTTCTCTCAGGTGAGTCCACTTCCCTTGCTGTCCATTACCTTCACCCCACTTCTAACCACCAGTATCGCTCCCCAGGCCTACTGAAGAAACCTCTGGTCCTCACTCACCACACCATCTTGCCCATCTCCAGTCCACTCTCCACCCTGGTCAGAATGATCTTTTTAAAACCTCCTATCTGATCATGTCACATGCACACCTCCTTTGTACTTTTCCATGACTCCCCACTGCTCTCAGGATGAGAAATCAAAGCCCCACAAGGACATGCAAAGCCCTATCCATGCACAGCCCCTGCTTCTTCCCTAGCCTTGTCTCTAGCTTCACTTTCCATGCTCTGACTACATGGGCTTTCTTCTAGTTCCTCCAATATGCTGTGCTGGTCCTGGCCTCAGGGCCTTTACACAAGACTCAGTGGCTTCTAATCTGTTCTCCTTCCATCCTTGCCTCACCAACTTCTACTCAGGTCTCAACATTACCTGTTACTTCAGCAGGGAGGTCTACCTCATTCTTTGATACTACAGTACTACATAGGGCCTTTTGGTTACATGTTCCCAGTAACACTTCTTATTTATTTTTATACCTTTTGGCACACTTATATTTGCCTGTGATGTCTGCTTCCTTCACTAATCCATATGCTCCAGGAGGGCAGGAACCATATCTATCTTGTCTATTACTGTGTCCTCAGCAATTAGAGAGTGTCTGGAGCACAGTAGACACTTGGTATGTGTTTGTTAAAGCAATGAAGGAATGAGTACTCGCAAAGACCTTGAATCTTAAATGTTCTACTTGATTGTGCTACTTGCTTTCAACAAAACAATAACAGGAGACTGTATTTTCTGTTCCATTTCTCTATCCTATAGAGATGGTGATTGATATCAGGAATTCAAGAATAAGCATAGCAAGCAGGAATTCTGGCAGATGAACAACCTGCTTAGGAAGTCTGTTCTTGCCTTCAACTATCAGAACAGCATTATTTTCTTTGGCTCAAAGGAGTCTAAGACTGTGTGTACTCAGGGAAACAGTATAGACCCGCGGTGTGGAGTCAGGGCCAGGGGTGAGACTCAAATAATAATCAAGTGAAAGAGGGTTGTGTGAGGCCTGGTGGGGGACATTGCCTTTCTCAGCAGCTGAGGCACTGGAACATTCCCTCTTGTGTCAATGTGGAAGTGAATGAATTAAGTTCCGTTTTATGCTGTGCCTGGAAAAATACCAGTGCTTTACTTGCACAGTTTCTGAAAGCAGACCCCAAATGCCACTCAGTCTCAGTTCTATGAGAGAGTGTTATAGGAAGAGGCAACGTTCACAGACTACGGGAAATACCACTGAAGTGGAAAAAGAAGAGAGCTGTGGATTTTTACTTTTCTGAGGTTACATATCCCTTTGAAAATCTGACAAAGCAATGGACCCTTCCTTCCCTCCCTACCCCTTTCCCTCTGCAAAATGTATGTCCATATAGCATCCTCCCATCCATGGGGAACCCTGGAGTGCCATGGCCCTCAGGTATTCAGATTAAAAATTCCAGTTAATGGGTATGATTGGAAATTGAGCAGAAATAAGCTAATAAGAGGTGACAAGGAAGTAATATGTCAGACAATATTTGGTCTAAAGAATGAAATAGAAGTGCTCTATAATTAGATTTTTCCATTTGTAATATTCTTCACTTTTTAGAACAAGTTGGCTAGCACAGGGGGCACCATGTGCAACAGAGGGAAATAAGGCAGAGATGTCTAGGGTCTGAGGGGAAGCGACTCCAACAGCTCCCTGGATTAGCCACCCATGGTGATCCATCCTTTAAAATGTATCCACCATGAGGCCAGGATTGTAGTCTGTCATGCTTACTGCTGATCCCCAGTGTCTAGCTCAGTGCTTGGCACTTAGTAGGTGCTCAATAAATATTTGTCAAATGAATGAATCAATTGGGCTATCCTGGGTTGCCCTAGCTGACTCTGTCTTCCCCTTCATTTTGTTCTGAATTTAACAGATTCTTTAGTTTTGGTTTATTTGTTAGAGAAATATTTATTGAACACCTCCTGGCCTTCTGGTGGGCCATAACTGTTCTCCAGGCATAGGATGGTATGAGATTAGAGAACTCCTGCTCTTGGGTCCATTATGCCTGGATTAAAGTCTCAGTTCTGTTGCTTGGGTGTAACAAAAACCTCAGTTTCCTCAACTGTAAAATGGGGTATGACAATTAAATGAGGTCACATAGTTAAAACACAGCACAATTCTTGACACAGAGATGCATGTTGTTTTCATAAATGTCAGCCATTTTTATTATTATTACATGGCTCCCCTGGGGTCCTCTTAACTTTCAGAGCCTAAACCCCAGAAACCAAGTGTTGCTGTCTATGCAATGGATAAAGCATAGGCTTTAAAAAGTCCCAGACTATTCAATCATAGCAGTATTAAAGTATTGGGAACATTACTAATTTTCCCCCTTTCTATTTTTCCATATTTTCTATCTTAATTAATATGCATGTATTACTTCATAATTTTAAAAACACTGAATAATAAAATACATGCAATAAAAATGTGTTTATTTAATTTTACTAATTACTCAGAACTGACAAACAAGAATGTTCTTACTGTCTCTGGTCTGTAGAATTAATTCTAGGAAGCCAGGAGAACTCAGTAGGTCTGTTATATTGCCCGAATAAAAATGTCCAAACACAAGCACCCAGAAAGGAAGTCTGTATCCCTGAGTAGACATGGATGTGTTGTTCAGGTCAGTAGAACTTGGTTCAGAACTCGGACTCTGGGTTTTGTCTCCCAGCTCTCCCCCTCTCCCCCTGCACATGCAGCTTTGGGAAAATTGCCGCTCTAGTCCTCAGTTTGCTCAATTGCTCATCAGTAAAATGGGAGAGACAAATAAAGACATTTTTCCATATAGATTGGTGTGGGAATGAACATCAAATACTTCACATATAAGAGTAAGTCTTCAATATGTTCTTTTTTATTCTGTTTTTCGAATAGCATCAGTGACATGTCGTTCTTTCTGTGTGTGTGCATTTTGCATGTCTGTGTATATAATCTCTTCTCTTTGATGTATAATCATCACCTCAAAGTGATCATGACCAAGCCAGAGCTTTTGATTTCTCAAACCCATCTCGCCAACTGTTTGTCTCTTAGTTTTCTACATTTCAGTAAAGGCACCAATACTCACCCAGTCGTTCAAGCTAAAAACCTAATGAATTGTCCTTTACTCCTCTTTTCCTCAACTCCCATAGTCAATTTGACAACTCAGCGAATGTCTCACAATCAGCGGCTTCTCACAGACACTGCCACCATCCAGAACAAGGATGCTGCCTTCTGCCTGCGCGTTAGCCTCCCAGTACCACCCGGCCCCTATGGCTGTTTCCCCAGGGCAGGACCAAGGCTGAGCTGACAAGGGTGCCCCACCGCCCCATCCTGGCTCGGAGCCCGCCCTCTCCTCCCACCACGACTTCCTATAATACTGGAAATAAACCCCAAATGGTCTACTGTCCTTCAGATCTCAATATTAGCGGTTAAGCAAACTTCTATGAAGGGCCAGGTGGTAAATATTTTAGGTTTTGTGGGCCACCTAGGAGTTTGTCACATTGTCATCATCTTCTCCCTCTTTGCCTTTATCTTTGTCTCCATTTCTACCTCCATCCCTGTGTCCTCTTCCTTCCAATCCTTTAAACATGTTGCAACTGTCCTTAGCTCATGGGCTTACAGAAACACACCAAGGGCCATAGTTTGCCAAGCCTTGCTCTCCATGAGCGGCCTCTGCCTTTCTGCCCATCCTGTCTCTCACCCTCCGCCTTGTTTGCTCTGCTCTAGTCTGAGGGCTGTTCTTGCTGCCCTGGTGTGCACCAACCACGCTCTGCTCAGGGCCTGTGCTCTCCTGTCTCTCTGCCCTAACTATTCTCTCAGGTCCATTGCATGGCTTATTTCCTTCCTTTGTTTGAGTCTGCTTGCAGGAGCCTCCTTGGAGAAGCCTCTCCCAGCACAAGCAGCCCCTCTGACGGGCTTGACCTCACTCCGCTGGGCACACCCTGTTCCTCTCCTGGCTTTACTTTGTGGTGTTTATTGTACACTTACTTGATTGTTGGTTGGTTCTCTGCCCTAGAGTGTTAGCTCCCAAGGTCCGGCTTTGTCCCTTTTGTTCAACACTTTGCTCCCCAACACCCAGAAAAGATCCTGGCCCTTAGCAGTCATTAAAAAAATATTTGTTACATACACTAATAAGTGTGAGAACAGTTCTGCCCTCTAGCTAGAGAGTTTTCAACTCCTGTAACACCACTCATTTGCAATAAGGCAGCCCTGTGTTAAAATCCTCAGCCCTGTTGGCTATGCCCAGTAACAAGGAATCGGAGAAAGGTGCCAAGCTATGCTCTAGACGACAGCGAGGATTGCGAGAACCCAGCTCCGTGTGCTGCCAGGGACTGAAGGATGGATCTGAGTGTGAGCATGGGGGTGCGAGGAGTCAGGGGAGGAGGGGGAGCAAAGCCAGGCTTTGAAGTGAGAGGAACTGTCCAGCTCTCAGGAAGCTGATGTCACTGAGGCATCCATGGATGATAAGTGCTCAGCAGAGCCAATGTCTTATGTCTGTTAAGGAGGGAGAGGAGCATCTCTTGAACCCAGAGGAAGAGCACTGAGATAAACTGTCCTTCCCAGGAACACACAGCCAAGTTGGCCTGCAAACCAGATAGTGCGGACATTGAAGGGATGGTGCTTATCAGACGTAGATGGGACATGGTGGAAAAATCTGGTATTTCTGGACTTGCTGAATAGCCCATGGTGACCCCCAGCCCCAGGCACACATCTCCCAGTATCTTTTTTTCTAGGGGCTTTCTGGGATTGGCAAGCTAGAGGGGTACATGGAGCAGCCAAGGATACCCTCCTCCCACTCCACATTCCTACCCTGCCTTGCTCAGTCCAGAATACTCAGGAGAAGTGGGCTTGGATCCAGTCATTGCAAAAGGGAGGCTGGGCCCCTTCTTGGGGCCATTGTAGGAGGCTCCTTGGGGATGGACTCCACGGAGAGGTCCTGTGGAGGACTCCAGAAGGACTTAGTACCATACATCTTCAAGTTCTGGCTCAGGATCAATGAGGCTTGGATTGGGCAGGGAGCCCAGCTGTAAACTGACTCTTACACCAGGCAGGGGCTGGATAGGCCAGATCAGGGAGTAATAAGATACAGGAATCTCTTCCTTGGATGCCCCTTAGGAAAGAAACAGGGAGATGCAGGACAGGGGAACCTGTACACTGTCCAGATTGGGGAATTTTATGACCAAGAGCATGAGTATAGTTCTTGATTTTAGAAAACAAGACAGCTATATAACACAAGGGAAAATGTGATGATAGTACAAATCAAACCCTATGAAAAGCTACACCTCAGGAGCCCAAGCTGGTCAGGTGGTCTGGGATCTGATGATGGGTCTGCTATGTGGCCTTGGAATAGTCACTTGACCTTTCTGGGCTTTGATGTTTTCACTTAAAGAACAGTAATGGTAAATCTTGACATTGACATCTCTTGGGTTATGGGATCAAACAAGGGAATAAAGAAAGTCTTTGCAAAGTTAAAAAGGCTCTACTTATGTATAACTTGATCCCTAATGAAGGTATATAAAACAGTAATACTAGTAGGAACAATAAACATCCAATGAGTATGACCATGTGCCAGGCACAGTGCCCAGTGTTCATATGCTTGTCTCTTATGGGCTTCACAGCAACCTCTAGAGAGAGACATTATTAAAATCCCCATTAGCAGATGAGGTCATAGTGCACAAAGAGGTTAAGGAACTTGCCCAGCTAGCCAGGTGAACCAAAATCTGAATCAAGCAGATTATCTGGAGAGCATATAGTGGAATCTCAAGGGGCCTATAGTCTGTATCACCAGGCCCCCACTTCAGCCTTCTTGGCTTCCTTGGGGAAGATAACCACAAGCCTGAACAGTGAAAACAGACCCATCACCATCTCTTCCCTGCCAGATGGGTTCAGTCTTGGCCAGCTGCAGAGAGGGTGCAGGGCTCTGACACAGCCTGAGGCACATACACCAACTCCGAGAGCCAAGGGTTCCGAAGGGGACAGTGAATCCTCGCCCAGCCTGGGTAACAAGGAGATGCCAGGGAGCAGGGGCTCCTCCAAATGACAGAGAGCAGGCCCATGTGGTGAAACGGCACATTGAGTGGCTCTGGGAAAAACATTTCCTTGAGAAAGCAGAGGCAAGAGGCAATCTCTGAAGGGCAGGCTGTCGTTTTCTATGTCCTCATCAGGAAGATAGGAGGGAAAAGCCGTCAGCACTGCCTCCCTGCAGCCACTCCTTCAGGCCAGCAGGCCAGGCCAGCAGCCCAGGGCTGTTTGCTCAGCTTTCCTAATATTATTCCACTGACTGGAGATTGGTGAGTTCAGCCAATAGAAAGTGGCAGATAAAGGCTTCTGGGCGTTCCTCTCTGAGAATACCTCCGGAACCTTTTCAGACAGACAGGGATTGCGAAAGGACATGAAAACAGGTAGAAGAGGAATTATTGATAGAGCTGTGGCCTTTGTCCTGGGTAAGAGAGGACCCGGCAAGCATGGACACCCTCAAATATCTGCAGGGCTGCCCTGAGACAGGCTAGTTCAGCACAGCCTTCATGAAGTAGAGAAAGGAATGGCAGGGAATAGCACAAGGAAGCACGTGGAAATCTCACAGAAGGAAACTCAGTGTAACAGGCAGAGGCTCCCAGAAGGGAAAAAACTTCACTGGGGGAAGTTAGCTCTCAATCACTGCAGGGGTTCAAACAGAGGCAGGAGGCCTTCTTGGCAGGGGCCTGCTAAGGGGGGGGGATGTGTACATTGTAGGAAGAGAACTCAGGAAGCCCTACAGCCTGCACAGTCCTGAGAATCTATGGCTTGGGGAAGGGGAAGAGCAGGGAAATGGGACGGAAAGGAAGGAAATGGCATGGCATATTCAGGGCAGCCTAGGACCGTGCCAGACCCATTCTGGATTCCCTCCCTGTTCTGTCTTGGTGCTACTGCCCCAGGACCACCAGACCTCACTTCTACTTCTCCATCCCAGAATACCTACTAGCTCCCAGTCCCTGCCCTTCTGTGCCCGGCTTGTTGCTGGGTGACACAACAGGATAATAGCCCAGATGACTCCAGGTAACATGGTGCCACAATCTGGGGACAAAGCCCTTACTCCTGGAGCAGAGGTTCTCAGTCTTTGGTGAACATCAGAATGAGCTGCAGGGCTTGTAAAAAGAAACTATTGGGTTCTCCAGTTTCTCATTCAATAGGTCTGGAGTGGTGCCCGAGAATTTGCCTACCTAACAAGTTTCCTGGTATTGCTGATACTATTGGTTCTTGGGTCACAATTGGATCAACACTATTGTTCTTTTACGAACCACAGTTCTAGAAGGTCTACAAGGCCTATAACCTTAGGTCCAAGGCTATGGATTCAGACAAATCAGTGTTGGAATCCCAGCTACACCATTTATGAGCCAGGTGATAACTGGCAAATTACCTAACAATGCTATGCTTCTGTTACCTATTCTGTAAAATGTGATAGTACCAAATTTCAAAGAGTTACTATGAGGATTGAAAATGGTGATTTATAAAAGGGGTTAATGTCTAGGATATGCTAAGTATGCAAATATTCAGTAAATGTTGGCAATTTTCCTTATCAAAATAAAATGATGAGTATATCAGACACCTATGTGCACCTCCATAGGACAGTGGTGTCAGAGCAGAAGAAGGCAAGCTTTCTCCAGCTGTACCCCATGCATATAGTCAAGCCCCGTGTTATTCCTTATCCATCTGTTCTGTGCTGGAAGAATGGGGATTCATCATCAGTAGGGCCATCCTTCAAATCTTGGTTTTTGTGTCAGGGAACAGCCATACATTCTGAGTGACCAGCTTTTGGTGTGACTCTACAGGAATCTGCCTTATAGGAAGCAGATTTTGTGTAGGACACAGGAGTGTGGTCATCTAAGGTCTTGCCACATTTCTGTTGGAGCCCCAAGACCCTTTGTCTTGTCACTCATATCCTTTAGTGCCTGGAATGATGGCCCACATGGCCTTGGGCTGCTCTGAACGTTGCTGAAGAATGGGGACCCTCTGGGAAAATACATGCCAGATTCTACCCTGTAGGAAATGTATCCTATAGTATATTCCTTGAAGTAGTAGCTTGAGAAATGCTCCACCCAAAGAATTCTGTAGTTAGATAAATTTGGGAAGTACCCCATTTGGAATTTACTGCTTAGAGCTACAAGATGTTCGCTAGCATATTTAAGCCTTCCAGAAGTTCTACAGTGAACATGCTAAACTTTGTTTCCCATCACTTAAATTTAGGAAACTAGTTGTAGGAATTTACCATTCTCCAGGTACCTTCATATGCAGCATCTCACAATTTTCTAAACAACCCTGAGAGGTAAGTAAGATCGTACCCATTTTACAGAAGAGGAAGCTAAAGTGCAAAAAGGTTTATAACTTGCCCCAAGTCACAGAGCTATT